TCGGTGCCATAGATATGCAAGGCCATAAAGCCATCAAGATACAAGGGGTTACAGAGTGTGGAAGAATTAGAAACAGAAACAGTAATAATGATCGGGAAGAGGAAATATTAGATAGCGATTGACATTGCATTTAATATTTTTGAAGATTAAAATTAACTGGAAAGCAAGGAAACAGAAGGCAGTTCCACAAGCGAGAAGTGCGAGAAAAGAAACTATTAGTATAGAATTTACGATTAAATCTAGCCAACGCAACTGGAAATTGGTGAGATCTTGACTCCAATCTAGTACAGCATTTAAAATTTAAAATATAGGTAACATAGCGAAGAGCTCACCCGAATAATTACAGTAAGAGTATTTATAGAAAAGGCACAGAGAGACAATTTTACATCGGTGGGTAAGTGACTGAAGACGAGCTGCCAGATCAGGACCAATAATATTGCTGATACTGCTTAAGAATTTATCAAGGCGCTCAAGATAAATAGCAGGGGCACCGGACCATATGTGATAGCAATATTCTTAGCATGGACGAATGGTAGATCTATAGATATGTAATATAGAAAGTATAATCGAACATGTTTATATATTCCGAAGTTTTTGTTTTGATCTTTTTAGAGTAAAAGTCACTCTGTACAAGGCCCGGAATCACTCAAGGTAGAGGGTTATGTTATCCCGCCTGCTGAAAGAGGTTGCAGGTTAGAAAATAATTCATCACCTACAAGTACTCGGAGACGGTTTTGAACTCTATCGAGACTGGAAAGTGAGACCTGGGCAAATTTGACAGCAGTATACCATTGCATATAGCTTTCTTTTTGATTGCTTCCTTCGCTTTTGTAATTAAATATCCCACATCGTGATAACAAAGATCTGACAGGAAAGATGAAATTTTGTAAGAACATGGACATAAATGATCTAGCGATTTCTTCACTTTCTGTACATTATTGTCTTAATAATTTGCTTTGTCTTTTAATCAAATTAATTAAAAATAAGGTCAAACTCATTACGGTGAGTATCTAATTTAGTGTATTCTTTTGTAAAAGATCCCTTTTGTGTTCATTTAATCTTTTATTTAAATTTCTTTAGGTTTCTCCTATGTATTTTTATGGCAATTACTACAGGTGATAGATTAAATACCTTCTTTAATTTTCACCTAATTTTGTTTTGTATTAAGTATTTTATTGTTTTAGAAGTAGTTGTAACAAATGTTACGTTAAGCTTATATAAATTCTTTTCGATTTTCATTGTGATAGAGTTGATAGGTAAAATCATATATTTTAATTTGTTGGATTGATCAGAATGGTTCATACTTCTATTTTAAAACAGCAATTATGTCTTTTAGGTTCTTTGCGTGAAGAACAAGTAGGAAATTAACAAAAACAAATTTAACAGACTTAGCAAACGTTTTTATCAAACGTTGAGCCTGGTTTTCTGGTTTCTCAAAACACTTGTCCGAAACGAAATATTAAAATGGGTTTTGCTTGAATCATCGAAAAATGTCCGGATCTGATAAATTGTTCTCTTCATTTTCCTTTCGGATAATCGAAATCTGGAAAATCGATTTACGGATAATCGAGACTGTATATCGTAAGTAAATATATATAGTGATATTTCAGGGTGCGATGGATAAATTGTCTTCTAAATTACGCAAAAATGAAAATAACACTGACATTTCATTTTAACAGATATATTTACCAAAACTAAACAAATATATCTTGAAGTATTAAAGATTAAGTGTAGTGAATAAAATTGCCATTACGTTCAACCACGGCCTCCAGATGACTTCGGAATCTCCTGCATCTCTTCTGTGTGGTCTCCTTAAGCAAGGAAACCGCACGCGAAAGCTGTTATAAGGCTTGGCTTCAGTTCATCTTTGCATTTACAAGAAGTAATTATGGCCTGTCGCTCAACTGCGTCCCACACAAAATAATCATGTGGGTAGCGGTCTGGGGAGTTAGTTGGCCAGATGTAAGAGGTGACGTGGTCGCAGAAATTGTCTGACAAGTATGACTGGATTCTCCTGTTTGTGTGTCATGGTGCAGAATCCTGTTGTCAGACATGGGGTCTTCCAGCATCCACTCTCTGGACACAGTGCAGATCTACATCCCCAACGTACTTGATGTAGACATCCGTGTTGAGTCTGGGGCCCTGTGGGAAGATGAATGTAAACATAATGTCGCCATCACTAGTGATCACTCCAAACACCTTCGTAATCACCATTAGACTCATGCAAATCTTTACGAATCTCTGCACTGTCTTCAGATTGACACTTAAACACTCTGAGATGTTCGTAGTGAAGCTTCCGACGCGAATACCATTCAGTGGAGCATGCCGTTTCCAAATTTCTGGCAGAGTGAATTGTGTCACGGTGCGCTTTTTCTCAGTAAAGGTGCCTAACTGTCCTTAATATACCTCTGCATTCGACATAACCAAAGCAAATAACGCGCAAGGGCGAAATTAAAAATAAAAAATGGCGACAATTTATCCATCGCACCCTCTAAACAAGGTTTGTGTATTCTTCTGTGTGCAGTTAAACGGATTGTTAATTTCTGCTTTCAATTATTTTGTCTTGTTGATGGATAAATACTATGTTTTAGTGAATAACTGAAGGATGTATGATAGGGTTATTAGTTTTAGGCTTGTTATTTTTATGATTATCGCAAATCATATTCGATTGCATGTATGGAATCAGTATTTACGATCAAGAAAACGAAGAAAGATACAAAGATACAAAAAAGAAAGAAAGAAAGCTACAAAGAAAAAGTGAAAAATAAAGGAAAAAGTAAAGAAAACAAAAGAAAGAAAAGGGGAAGAGTATATCAAGAATGGATAATGGAGGAAAAGGGAGGGAAATGATAATAGAGGAAAGAAGAAGAAAGTAAGAAGAAAGAAAGATAGGGAGGGAAATAATACTGTGAGAAAAATAGGAAATGAAGAATGAAATATATAAAGATAGGAGGGAAGGTAAAGAAAGTGTTATGGGAGTAAGAACGAACATAAATCAAAAAAGAAAAGAGGAGTAAATAAGAAAGAATAATGGAAGAAAAAGAATAGTGAAAGAAAGAAAGTGGAATGCACGTAATAAAGAAAGAAAGAAAGAAAAAAAGCGTAATTGACGTAAGAAGGTAAGAAAGAAAGAAAGAAAGAAAGAAAGAAGGAAAGAAAGAAAGAAAGAAAGAAAGAAAGCGTAATTGACGTAAGAAGGTAAGAAAGAAAGAAAGAAAGAAAGAAAGAAGGAAAGAAAGAAAGAAAGAATGTGTAATTGACGTAAGAAGGTAAGAAAGAAAGAAAGAAAGAAAGAAGGAAAGAAAGAAAGAAAGAAAGCGTAATTGACGTAAGAAGGTAAGAAAGAAGGAAAGAAAGAAAGAAAGAAGGAAAGCGTAATTGACGTAAGAAAGAAAGAAAGAAAGAAGGAAAGAAAGAAAGAAAGAAAGCGTAATTGACGTAAGAAGGTAAGAAAGAAAGAAGGAAAGAAAGAAAGAAAGAAAGAAAGCGTAATTGACGTAAGAAGGTAAGAAAGAAAGAAGGAAAGAAAGAAAGAATGAAAGCGTAATTGACGTAAGAAGGTAAGAAAGAAAGAAAGAAAGAAGGAAAGAAAGAAAGAAAGAAAGAAAGAAAGAAAGCGTGATTGACGTAAGAAGGTAAGAAAGAAAGAAAGAAAGAAGGAAAGAAAGAAAGAAAGAAAGAAAGCGTAATTGACGTAAGAAAGAAAGAAAGAAAGAAAGAAAGAAAGCGTAATTGACGTAAGAAGGTAAGAAAGAAAGAAAGAAAGAAGGAAAGAAAGAAAGAAAGAAAGAAAGAAAGAAAGCGTAATTGACGTAAGAAGGTAAGAAAGAAAGAAAGAAAGAAAGAAGGAAAGAAAGAAAGAAAGAAAGAAAGCATAATTGACGTAAGAAGGTAAGAAAGAAAGAAAGAAAGAAGGAAAGAAAGAAAGAAAGAAAGAAAGAAAGCGTAATTGACGTAAGAAGGTAAAAAAGAAAGAAAGAAAGAAGGAAAGAAAGAAAGAAAGAAAGAAAGAAAGCGTAATTGACGTAAGAAAGAAAGAAAGAAAGAAAGAAGGAAGGAAAGAAAGAAAGAAAGAAAGAAAGCGTAATTGACGTAAGAAAGAAAGAAAGAAAGAAAGAAAGAAAGAAAGAAAGAAAGAAAGCGTAATTAACGTAAGAAAGAAAGAAAGAAGGAAAGAAAGAAAGAAAGAAAGAAAGAAAGAAAGCGTAATTGACGTAAGAAGGTAAGAAAGAAAGAAAGAAAGAAGGAAAGAAAGAAAGAAAGAAAGAAAGAAAGAAAGAAAGAAAGAAAGCGTAATTGACGTAAGAAGGTAAGAAAGAAAGAAAGAAAGAAGGAAAGAAAGAAAGAAAGAAAGAAAGAAAGAAAGAAAGAAAGCGTAATTGACGTAAGAAGGTAAGAAAGAAAGAAAGAAAGAAGGAAAGAAAGAAAGAAAGAAAGAAAGAAAGCGTAATTGACGTAAGAAGGTAAGAAAGAAAGAAAGAAAGTAGGAAAGAAAGAAAGAAAGAAAGAAAGAAAGAAAGAAAGAAAGAAAGAAAGAAAGCGTAATTAACGTAAGAAAGAATGGAATTAATTGATGCAAGAAAGAAAGAAAGAAAGAAGATTGATGCAGGAAAAAAAGAGAGAAAATATTTGGAAAAATTATAAAGGAAGGAATTAAAGATAGAGAAAGAAATATAAGGCGGGCATTAATGAAAGGGGGGGAGAAGAAGAAGAAGAATAAAAGATGATGAAGAAGGGACAGAGAAATAATAGAAAGAAGTGTAAAATTCAAGGAGAAATAAACAGAAAAAAGCGATAATTTTTTAAAATGAAAATAAAATATCTCTTGTAAGACAAGAACAAAATGTGAGAAATAAGAAAGTCCTTCCGGGTAAATAACGAAAGGGGATGAGTGCAAAATTGTTGGCTAATGGCCCGACGGTCTAAGTTGTAGCAAATCTATGAAATAGATATCATTTAATGAACCAAATGACTTCGACTGAGTGCTCGAAATTACTCATCGTCGATGGGGATTGGTCGGAAGAATTAACAAATGCTGAATTAATTAATGTCAATTAAATTTTTAAATCTTTGAAAATTAATTAGAAATCCATCAGGAAGCGAAACGTTTGCAAAAGTTCCCAAGATTTGGAAGACATTTTCAAAATTTCCAAACGAGGAAAATAAAAAAAAACAACAAAAAAACCCCAAAAAAACGAAAATGAATTTCAGGAAAAGCACATCAAATTTCAAACTGAAGAACCTAGATAAAAAACAAAGTTAATAGCACTGCTACTAATATTACTACTACTACCACTACTACCACCACCACCACCACCACTACTACTACTACTGATACTAATACAATTATTATTATTATTATTATTATTATTATTATTATTAATCATCATCTCACGAGTACAGCCCACAGAGTACGAAAGGCTTTATCTATGTAAAATATGTTTGTGTGTATGTGTGTGTTTTTAATTGGTCAGTAGAAAATGTATTGATGCCATTTCTAACCATTAGGTCTCTCTGCGGGACCCGGAAAGAAGTAAGTACACACCAGAAATCAAAGGAAAATAATAATAATAATAATAATAATAATAATAATAATAATAATGTGCCTCCTTATTGACATGGCAGTCCCTGCTGACTGCAATGTATCTTTGAAGATATTCAAAAAGCTGTCAAAGTACAAGGACCTTGAAATAGAAATCGCGAAAATGTGGCATATGGGAACATCAACAATCCCTGTTGTAGTTGGAGCCCTAGGACTGGTTGGAAAAGATTGCAGTAGACTAATTAAAGGGATTCCTGGAAGTCCATGCCTCAAGGAGATACAAAAAATTGTTCTGACAAGTACAGCCTACACATTACGAAGGGCTTAATCTATGTAATTTAATTTTTTTTTTTTAATTTTTTAATTTTTTTATTTTTTGTTTGTCTGTGGAAAGTGTCATGACGTCATTTCTAACCTTAGGTCCCTGGGCGGGACCCGGAAAGAAATTTATAAACGCCAGAAATCAAAGAAAATAAAAATAATAATAATAAAGACATCAACAACAATAGTAATATTAATAATATTATTTGATATTTCTGCTTGTTCTTTAGTTCGTTTGTTAGTTCACCCGACCGTTACGCCCTGCCAATACTTAATAAATAATGGACTATACAGTTTTGATAGCGAGGGAAGGACAGAGACCACATAAAGAGACAGTGTTTTTGGTTTCAATGTGAGAAACAACAAATGAAGACAAAGAAAAGACGGGAGGTAATAAGACACTCGTATTTTAATGAAATAGAAAGCCTTATTGTCTGTTTTGATTTTTTCATTTGTACCCCCTTACTTCTTTAAATAATGGACTGCACCCAAATTCATGATTTTTATTGAAATAATTTCTTAAAGTTGCTCAGCTCAAATATTTAACGATGCAAAAGAATTCCACGGGGATTTTCTAGTTCTGAAACTTGCAAAGATCTTATTGTATCCTTAACTTCAGAATTATGAATCATCATAAAATCAAAATAAAGAAACCGAGAAATTGTCACTGCTACTCATACTACCACTACCACTGCTGCCACTACTGCTAATATAATAATAATAATAATAACAATAATATTTCAAATCTTAATTGTTCTTATTAGATTTATATAAATACAAATTAAGAATATTGTCAAGAAAAGAGAAAATAGACTGATGAGATTTTTTAAATCGTTTCCCCTCAAGCTAGGCGATAAAGCCACTAAGACGCAAGGAGGTTTACTGAGAGTGAATGTCACTGGGAAAATGTTATTGAGGAGAATGAACAATAAAAGAAAAGTTCTTAAAGAGACAGAAAATGAAGATTGCATTTAAATGTTTGAAGATTTTTTGTAACAGGAAAGCAAGAACAGTGTTCCACAGGCAAGAAGTCCGAAAGAAGAAACCATTAGAATAGGACTTACAGTTATATCTAACATTTTCAATGTAAAATGATGAGACCTATGCCCTAAATATATGTAGTCGCGTTACCTAAGAGTGTGTTGGAGAACAATGGTCACCCTTGAAATAATAATTATAGTAATTTTGTTTATAGATTAAAAAAGTAATCTGGGTGAAGTTTGTGCCCAGAGGATCTGTGCTTTGTCAGAATTATTAATATAACATGTCAAATAAAGAGGGTTTATGTGAAGTATGAAATACCAATTGGGAAGAAGAGACTGCTCGTTTAATCATTAGAAGGAAAGGTCAGTAATCAGGTTGTGATCTAAGTATTTGTCGCTACCACACCGTTTATTTATGCGTGTATTTGTGCGAAAATATCAATTGAGAGAGTCGAGTGGGAGTCGCGTCGAAGTAGCAGTCGACGAGAGAGAGGAAGAGAGAGAGAGAGACAGAGAGAGAGGCAGTGAGAGTGAAAGCGTCCGCTTGATGCTGTGATAAGGTTAATGCTTGCTGAGTGAATTAATTACGGTCACTACTAAGAACAAAAAGCGTGAACCCGAAAGCTACTTGTCCCTTTTCAAAATTATTTGCAATATTTTTTCCTGCACTTTATTGCTTATACACTATTTGCTTTTAAAGGAAGCATTATTCTTTTTGTATCAATTTCTTCCGTATATATATATCTACATAAATTTTTCTTTGGACTCGAATTGACTTGTTCCTAATAGATTTTTTTCTCTGCTTGGCCGGATTCTCGCCTCAACAAACTTGCAGGTAGACCAGCTGAATCTTCCGGGATCTACGATTTGTTAATTGCTCTCCAGGATCAAAAAATTAATTGCAACGTGGCTGGAAAGTGGAAACGAATCGACATTGTGAACTGGAGACTTCGATTGGACCTGTACTACTGGACCAAGACAGGACCAACGGCCGGTCTTGTAGAATACATCGATCCAGTGGAGTCAGGATAGGTGTTACAAAGAGGAGAGCTTATCAGAACAATTGCCGTAAAAATATGTATGAAAAACCACAATGAAACTAAGATAAAGCAGCCGGAAAGATGATTGAAGCTGAGATGGAAGGTCAGGATGGGTAACATTGCAGATTACTTTTTGGATTTTTTTTATAAGAATCTCTAAATAAACATAGGAATCACCAGACTAATTGTGGGAATAATATACAATGCATAGACAAATTATAGACTCATAAATGTTGAGACATATTCGGCTGAGAAAAAAATTATCTAGCGCCACACAGTGGACAAGCTTGCTTAGTAACGTATTCGATATAGTCTTAGCAATTCATATCAGAATTAACATCAGAATTATCTGATACAAGAGACATGGTGGTAATGAAATAAAATATAATTTTAACCCTTTGAGCCCTGAACACAGCTTTACCGGTGGTAGAGAAAAATGGCGTAATGCCCAGCGACCGGATGAACGGTGAATAAACACTTGTAACTATTTTTATATGTACCGTGAAAGATTACATAGAAATTATTTGCAAATTTTGAGGCAGGAGCGCAGGGTTAAAATTGTTCAAGAACGCAGTGCTAAAAGGGTTACAACTGTAAGACTTATTTATGGTTTTGTAATTTCAAAATTTTGTTCTTGCAGGAAATATTTTCGGGGGGAAATACATAAAACCCATTGGAAATTAATTGTAATGCTTGTGCTTTCAGAGCGAAAGTGACCACGTCGAGAGTTTCACTGGAAACCAAGTGACAATAAGTCTTTTACATTACAGCAGGGCTCTCCTTAAAATTATAGAATTAATAATGAACAGAAAAGAGTATAGAATATTGATCAATATTGACGGCTTTAAAAAGACACACGTCACTACTTTAAAAGTTTTTTTTTTTTGTAAGAATAGAGAAGCACAGAGAACAACATAAGGAATGATAGTGAATATCGGAAAATTCAACTAGATTGAGAGAAGCATATTAAGGACTTAGAAAACTCAAGACTAAAATACGGTATAATTCATTAGGAAATTGTAAAGACAGAAATGGTGCAAATGTTTCACTCGTAACAGACAGCTGTTAAAAACCACAGTTAAACAAACGGGACATCAAAGTCTTAATAGACAAGATACAGCAGAACAGAAAATTTCGCTTGTATGGATATGGAGGTAGAACTCATATAACAAATAAATCTGCCACATCAGGTCTTGTGGTCCTGCTACGTATTTAGAGATTCTTGATAAAATACAAAGAAGAATCTGCAATGTTACTAGTTCTGACCTGGCATCTTGGTTTCAGTCAATTTCCTATCACTGTAACGTAGCTTCCCTGTGCCTTTTCTATAAATATTTTCATGGTGATTGTTCTGATGAACTTTCCTCTTTGGTACCTAGACTTTATGACCATTACTAGATTGGCAGCAAGGTCTCATCATTTTATAGATTAAATAGCTAGATATAACCGTAAGTTCTATGCTAACAGTTTCGGCACTTCTCGCTTGTGAAACTTTCTCTCGGCTTCTTGTTTCTCAGTCAAACTTCCATCTTCAAGAATTTAAGAGCAGTGCTAATCATTATCTTCTGTTTTCTTCATTGTTGTTCTCATATTCTCTAACACTCAGTAGGCTCTTGCGTCTTAGTGGCTTTACTGCCTTATTTGGGGTGAAATGATTAAAAAATATTATTATAGTGATGACAGCTGCTACGTATGTTACTACTATGCCTATAATAATAATAATAATAAGAAGAAGAAGAAGAAGAAGAAGAAGAAGAAGGAGAAGGAGAAGGAGAAGGAGAAAAGAGGAATAAAAAGAAAAACAAGAAAGGAATAAGAAAGAAAAAAGAAGAAAGATGATGAAGAGAAAGAATAATAGTAATAAGAAAACAAAAGATAAAGAAAGAGAAGAAGAAATGATTAAGAAAAATAAGAAAAAAAATAAGAAAAAGATGATGATGATGATGATGATGAATGGAAAGAAGAAGAAGGAAAAGAAGAAGCGAAGAAGAAAATGAAAAGAAGCAAAAAATGTGTCGATGTTGATGATGAAGAAGAAAAGAAGAGGATCAAGAAGAAAAAAGAAAGAGGAAGAAGAGGAAAAGAAGATGATGATAATGAAGAAGAAATAGATG